TATACATGAAGTCAAAATGGATCATTTCAGATATCCGAAATGGTCGAAATGGTCGAAATCATTTCGACCATTGAAGGCTAAAGCTGCGAAATAGTCGAAATCATGTCATATCACATGATTTTTCATATTGAGAAAAAACAATAAACAAAAAATGTACGATCTCAGTCAATATCGTTCCGATACATATGCAACAACTACCATTCGATTCCTTGCGACCTGGCGGATCCAATGAGCTAACATTCATTGATTTTGGATCATCCAATCGCGAGATAATCACAATTGTATTATTGGCCAAAATTATGAATCAATAAATTCTACGAAACACAATCGCGAATATCTCGAGATGGTATAATCCAAAATCAATGAATGTTAGCTCATTGGATTCATCTAGTCGCGAGGAATCGAATGGTAGTTTTTTCATACGAATCGGAGCGATATTGACTGAAATCATACATCTTTTGTTTTTTTTGTTTTTTCTATATGTAAAAAATCATGTGATATGACGTAATTTCGACCATTTTGACTTTCATTTTGATGACTTTGACCCTCCAAAGTTGAAACATTTCGACTTTTGGGTTTTTATTTCGACTTCATGTATAATCATTACTAAATAATCCAAAGGTCTGTAACTGTCAATTTCTAAAAGTTGTTTTTCTACCATTAACATTGCTGTATTATCAATATTTTTTTTGAAAAAATAGATTGTATTGACCAAAATGACTGAAATAAACTCTTGGGCTGTAGCTTCATTAGTATTAGAGTTATCAAATACAGATTTCTTAACTTTAAGTTGCTCGATAATCATGTTCAATATTCATCGTTAAGTGTTGGGAATAATTGGAAGAGATCTTTCAAATTAAAATCATCTGACACCAATTCAAGTATACTGCTTTTATAATTGTAAATATTTTTCAAAACTTCCTCGAGCTTCTAATTGACAAAAGATTTTGGTTCCTGATTAGAGCCTTTAGATCAAAACTAAGTTCATTTTTGCCCTCTTCTTTAAATTTCTCAACTAGATGTTCAAAATAATATGCATTTCCTATTTCTTTCCCTTGATGTTCAAAATAAATGTCATTCAGTTTACAATCTGCTAAACTCTCAAACTTTGATTTAGCCACAATTTGCAATATATTGAATGAACCAGTTGTATACTTGATCATACACTCTTCCTTTCTGTTATTCACAAACTTAAGATTCACATTGACTGCAGAGAAAACAAATGAACTAATGATTACTAGACATTATAGGAAAAAAGAATGTATAAAAAAAACAAATTTACTTACTGCTTAAATAGGACAATAGGTAGCGAATAATTATTATTGTGTTTGAATCTTTGCCAACATATAGGGAATTAAGGTTAGTTTTTAGATCAAGACGTTTGAGACTTTCATTAAAAAGCGTAATATTCTTATTTTTAGCACTTATAAAAAATGATAATGCTTGTGAAGAGCACTCTTAAAATCATTCAAATCTGCACTTAAAAACTCTTTCAAATTTTTAATATCATCTTATTTAAGCATAAACTTTCTGGCATTTTCTTTGCCCTCAAACAGGATTCACATCTTTATTGGATAAGAATTTGGACAAGAATCTTGAGGACGTTTATTTGGAGAGCCTGGCTGTTCTATAAATTCAAACTCTTTCTTTTCTTTGTTAGACATTTTTTATTGTGAATAATACCAATTTAGGTTAGGGTATTTCAAAAATAATAGAAAAACAACTAGAATAGGTTAGAGAATAGAAATAGTTAATCTATCTTACTTATATTTACTGTGTGATCGTAAAATTGCAAATTAAACTTTGAAAATTTTATTTTTTTTTCTTTTCGTGAAAAGAATGCTAAAAGCTTTGTATTACATCACTTATCAGATGACTATTATAAGCCTTTATAAAAAGTATCCATTTTTTCTCACCAAAAAAAAATAACTTAAAAAAGTATATAAAAGCATATAATATATTTATTAAGCAAAATCATGTGATTATAATAATAAAAACACATTTTTAACTCAATTTGTTTCACAATTGAAAGACTACAGGTAGTTTAGTATCAAGATTATCAGTCACAGCAGGGACGATGAAATTATGCTGTGATTAAACATGAATTATGTATGTACTAAAACAAAATTATGTGACATAATTTGTTTAAAAAAATTTATATTATATGATATTATTTAATAAAATTTATGTAATTATTTGATTTTATTTATAATAAAATTTATATTATGTAATATTATTTAATGAATTATAGAAGTAAATTTCTAAATTATTTATTATTATAAAATTTTAAGTCATAATTTCATTAAAATACATCATACTTAATTTTTTAAGAGTATCCCAAGAAAGATTTTAGCGATTACTATCTAAAAAAGTATTGTATATTGAAAAACTTTGTTCAACAGTATAACATGATATTAGTAGCCAAATATAATCTAAAGCAATATTAAAAAGAATTGGTAACTAACTGCATTGCCTTCTCTACCCAATATTGGTCCAATTCTATATCACCTAAAAATTCATTATCTAAATCACAATAAATTCCCTATTCCCATAATAATTCATCAGATGGATTATCAAATTCTTTAATTACATAATATTGTCGAATATTTTTTCGTAGAATATCTCCATTATGAACAAATTTGGGATCAAAAACTTAACATACATAAAAATATTGTCAAGCTGAATTGTTAGGAATATGTGTAACAAATTTTTTATATGTTACTTCAAATGCCATTTGAAAAATCGCATAGTGTTCATTTGTATTAAATTGAAGTTGAATAATTAAATTTTCCAAAATTGAATCAAATTCATTCGATTTTCTATATATTTCAATGTATGCAGTAAGTTGTTGAAGTCGTAATTTCACAAAAGGAAAAATGGTTTTTTTTAATTGCTAAAAAAATTGAGGTTTTGAATAAATTCTTTAGCATAAGAAGAAATAAAATTAACATAGATTGTAATAAGCCCTAATTCTTGTATATTTTATAAATAAGAATTAATAGCTTCTATAATACAATACTTCGTATTATTATCAAATTCTTCTTTAAAAAAGATGGCCAGTAATTGATATGTTCTTTTGTATAGAATACTATTCAAAACCAAGAATTCTATCATGTTTTATTGTATAATAGAATTTTACATGATAAAAAAATTTCATGTATTTTTAAATGGGTTAAGTATCGACTTTTTTGAGCAGGAGAATTAACAAAATCTTCTTTGATTTTATTTAAAAAGACTTTTAAAATACAGAATTGAGGTAATGTTCTTCATGTATTCCTATTAATTTTTTAAAAAAGTTTTTTAATTAAGCGATAATATGGATTATATATTAAAAATTAAGGGAAAAACTTTATTTAAATTATACTAATAACCTTTTTTTTTTTACAAATTACATTATTATTTTTAATTATTATATTATCTGTTATTCTTATAAACTTCCCATTCTACCTTTATTTTTTCTATAGATAAACATTAATTTTAATAAAGTTAATATATAAAATTACTTTTTCTTATTATTTTATTACATTCTTGCTTACTAAAAAATTTTTATTTTTTTTATTTTATCTTACAAATATTAATAATTAATTAAAAACAAATTTAAAAATTAAAAAAAAACATATCTAATAAAATTTAAAATATGTGCGTAATATAATACATAAATTAACTAAGATATCAATGACAATAAATATTGTGATAGCATTTTTTCATATATGTAGCAGAATTCGAAAGAAATAAGTAAGATAAGTTAAAAGATATATTAAAATAAGTAAGAGTTATTATAAGAACTTGTCCTATTGTAATATTATTAACATGCTCAAGAAAATCTACTGAAACTTATTTAGTTTAATTATAATAACAAAAAGGATATTAACAACGCTTCGCGTATAATTATTAATTGTTTATCCATAATTATAGCTACTAGTTTTGAATTAAAAAGGAATATAAGACATTGATAATGCTTATCAAAAATATTTGGTAAGTAAATTTGTCTAAAAGTTGAAGCTTGAGGAATAGAACCTTTATTTTTAACATATATTTTAAAAAATTGAAGTAAAGAATTGACCTTTTTAAGAGGAATGTCTACAGCTACAAAAGCATTTATGAGGTCTTTAAGTAGATGCTTTTTTAAATTAGCAGCTTCTTGAATGGAAGAAAGGGTAAGTTGTTGTGTTTTATTTTGAATTTCGTCATATTTAATTTATGTTTTTGATTATCGCAATAGCTATCTACAATATATTTATATTTTCATTCTATAGAAACATTACAATAATTACAAAAGTGAATATTATTATCAACACGAAAAATGTTTTATATTCTTTGCTTCTAGTATAAACTGATAAAGTTTTTCTTTCTTTGCCATTATAAAAAAGAGATAACAATAATCAATAATCAATAGCTAAATTAAATATATTTTATTGCGGATTATATGTTTTAATATAGAAAAATCTGAATTATATGCTTTTATAATGTGATAAACCTTGAATTATGTAATATTACATAAAATATGTGTTTAATGTGAAATTATTTAATCAAATAAAATCATCATCCTTGAGTCATAGATTCTTTGTGAATCTTAAATACTAATTATTACACATCAGTATCTGAGAATTATTTCAGGTGATTAGTCTCATATTTATTTATTTGATCATCATAGGAAAAATTCCTTAGACAATCTATATTAGAAAACGTTTCTATTTTAACTCTTTAAAAAATGCATATTCAAGGCAGATTTCCAATACTAGTTGGATTGATTGGAGTCAATTTGAAATTTACTAGCAAATAGAATATATGAATCTTTCTTTGAGAATAATGAATTACATGTATTGTAATAAACTAAAAAGTTATCTTATTGATCACATGATTTTTACTTTGTCACAAAATCTATCCAATCAGCTAAAATAGGCAGATCCTCAAAATCTGTCTAATTAGCCAAAATTAGCAGATCTGCCAGATTGACTAAATCTGCCATATATGTAATATATGTTAGGTATACAATAAAAGACCAATTACAGTCAACCCTTGATATAACGAATTTTATGTCCTGAACTTCAACTTCGCTATAGAGCTATAGTGAATTTT